GAAAAAGGCTGCAAGAATATCTTCTTAAAATGTGACTTTAGTTAACACTCCTTCATTAAGGGGAGGCAAGAATTAAAAATTCCCTCCACTTATATGTAGGCAGGCTCTTGACTACAAAGGAAGTGATGTTGCCTTCTGAGATCTCATTCTTTTAGAATGTTTGCTTAGAATCCCATCACAGACCATGAGAAAGTCCAAGTAGGCCATGCCAGCGACATGAGTATGGATCTTGAGAATAAAACCTCCAGACCCCAGTTAAGCTTCGCCAGTTGACACCACATGGAACAGAGATAAGCTACCCCAGCCAAGCCTTCCCCAAATTGCAGATTTAAAAGCAAAACAAATGACTGTTGTTTTCACCCACTAAGTTTTGGAATGGATTGTTATGCAGCGACAATAACCAGAATAGATTTTGATAGTTGGATATGGGATGCTGCCAAAACAAAAACTTAAAATATGTGTCATTAGCACTGAGATTGGGCAGCAGAAGAAGCTGGAAGAGCTCCAAAGCCAGTGCCTGTCAAGCCAAAAGGGCCAAGGAATGGATGGATTTCTGGAAGCCTTAAAAGCTGTAAGAAAGGTGTTGGTGAAAGCTTAAAGGAAAGAAAATCTAACTGGAAGCTGAAACAAGCTTCTCTCTCTGCAACCTTTTACTAGGTCTGTGGCAAAAATCTAAGACTCACTCCCTCTCTCTCTCTCTCTGTGCATATATGAAGAAGAGGTTTGGTAAGCAGGGTGGTGACAGCCTTCCACAAGCCAGGAAGAGAGCCCTCACCAGAACCCAACCATGCTGGTACCCTGCACATTTCCAGTCTCCAGAACAATGAGATAATACAAATGATGCAGCTTCCTCTTAGTTCTTTGGAGATGCTTGCTCTCAGAATCCAGCCAGTATGTCAGGAGGAAACCAAAGCAGTGCATGGAGAGCAAAAAAACGGCCTCCAGTCCATTTCCTTAGCCAAGTTACTGGTACACAGCCAATAGTAACTTGCCAGCCATGTGAGTTGACCATCTTAAAAGTGTTCCCCTATTCCCCAGTTTAACAGCCCAAGATCATAAGATGTGACACAGATAAGCAGTCCCTGACTAGCCTTGTCAAACTTGCAGATTTGTAAACAAAATAAATGACTGATGTCAGTTCCTTTTGGGGTGGCCTGTTAACAATAGATAACTGATACAGGCAGAGCTTTATGTCTTCCTCAAGCTCCAGGTAAGGGTAAATGCTCCCCCATTTCTGTTCCCAAAGAACTCTCTGTGAAACATTATCTTAGCAATTATTGTACTCAATTGAATTTAACTCTTCACTTGTCTGTCTCTCTTTGAGCTCAAGGATAATACCAAGCTTTTTGAAAAATTATCTCCTTAAATATATTATGTTTGTCACATTCTCTCTTTCTTCTCCTCCTGAACTTTGATTAGACATGTTAAAACTTTGCAGTATATCTTTCAAGTCTCTCAGCTTCTCTTTCATATTTTCCATATTTTTGTCTCTGTGCAACATTCTGAAAAATTTCTTGTGGCCTAAAATTTCCAGGTCACTGTATCTCTCCTCAGCAGAATCTCATCTGCTGTTCCACTCATCCATTGAGTTTTTAAACTGTGTGTGTGTAAGTAATTGGATTTTTTTCATTTCTAAAAGTTTTTTTTTTTCCTCTCCAATATGCCAGGTCAATTTTTTTGTTGTTGTTTTTAGTTTCTAGTCCCAAAAAATATCTTCAGGCTCACTTTTTCTTTATAATGGCACAGTCATTTTATAGTCTACATCTACTAATTTCAATATTTGAAAGCACTTAAGGTGTGGATCGGCTCTTCCTTGTTTTTGTTGGTTCTTTTTGGGGTTTCTTTCCCTATAGGCTTAATTATTAGAAACTGCTAATTTTAATAATAGGAAAGGTATTTATAGAAATTATTTGGGGCCATGGAGGAGAGTATATTTTTCTCCAGAGGGATTACATTTTCTTCCACTTGATACCTGAGGGTATGACTTTAAATGCACGAATTGACATTTTTTGGACCACCTAGGTGATACGAATTTTGGGTGGCAATCTGTGAGGGCTAGTTAGTAGTAATAACTCTTCAGGAATTTCCCACCCCCTGACCTGCCTTGTTCTGCTCACAACAAATCATCTTTCCTTGCAGTCCCCTTGGGGTGGGGAATACAAGATTACCTCTGATTCCTCTGAGGGTGTAGCCCTTAGAATCCTAGTTCTATGGAGGAAGGATTTCATATTACAGTCCCTGAGTGTTTTCTGTATCCAAAGCCACAAAAGCCTTGAGCACTGAAGTTCATCAGCAGGTTCAGTAAGTTCACCCAGGACAAAGGTGGCTTTAGTGCATCATTTATTTCCTACCCTCACCAATGTTTTGGCCTGATTATTTCTTACTAACCAACTGATAAAAAGAAATTCCTAATTTAGATGTGATTCAATTTATGTAATTTTCATATCAAGTTTTTGATACTTTTAAGAAGTTTTTTTCTTTTCTATATTGTATCCAGCATTTTTATTTGTTTTCAGCAAGAGTTGACCTGAGCCTGATCAGCCTTATTATCTGTGTCCATGTCATTTTCATCCTTATATCCTCAGCATTCAGAACTGTGCCCTCGTATGCATAAGAACTTAATTAGTTTCTGACTACTTAATACATAGCTGTGTCTTCAATTTTGCATTCTTTCCTCTATCACCCCTGATATTTCCCTACACTCTGTGCCCCAATTAAAGCTCTTTCACATTTTGCACATCTATTCCTGCATTTTCCTATTTTAATGAAGCTTTCCATCCTGAATATGCTATTTCCCTCATTATCTCTCTTATGGAAAAGTCCTCATTCTTGTCAACTTCCATAGCCTGGGGTCGGCATTGTTTTCATTCTCCATGACTGCTGTGGATAACTTTCTATTACTGGCCTTCATCCAAAATCTGATGCTCATCTGAAGTTTACCCTATTCTATTAAAACATTCTTTTTCTAATTTTATTGCTATCATATGTGGACCTTCAGTCATATCTCTACATTTCTTGGAAGGTTTCAGTACTTGATTCCCAATATCTACCCACCTCATCCCCTAATGCAATGCAGCACTATAGTATAGTGTTTAAGAGCACAAGTTAGATAACTCAAGGTCAAGTACCAAATCCACTCCTCATTAACATGTAACCTTGTGAGGCCAGCTAGTGTTTCAATGCCTCAGTTTCCTTATCTGTAAAATGAGAATGATATTAGTACCTCATAGCATTGTAAGAATCATATGGAATAATGCATATAAAGCACTTAGAACAGTATCTGCCACATAATAAATGCTCAATAAATTTACTATTTTCATTACTATGCTCTTACTTTAAAAATCTTCCTTCTGTATGTTCATGATTAATTAATACCCTAGCCACAGTACTACTCAAAAAATCCATTTTTTTCACTTGTACAAAACTCCCAAGACTATAATGTATAATGGCTTTTCTAAATTTTATTTACTTATTTATTTAGAGACAGGGTGTCGCTGTGTCACCCAGGCTGCAGTGCAGTGGTGTGACCATGGTTTACTGCAGCCTTGACCTCCCGAACTCAAGCAATCCTCCCACCTCAGCCTCCTGAAGAGCTGGGACTACAGGCATGTGCCATCATGTTCAGCTAATTTTTTAATTGTTTGCAGCAATGGGGTTTCACCAGGTTGCCCAGGCTAGTTTTGAACTCCTGAGATCAAGTGATCCACCCACCTTGGCTAGGAATACAGGCATGAGGTAGTGTCTGTAATAGGCTAGTGCTAAGAATACAGGCATGAGCCATCGCTCCTGGCCTGAATTTTAATTTAACCCTTCTTAAGGTCTAGCTCTTACTTTTAGCCAACAACCTTTTATCTTACCCAGAAATTGAATCCATTTGAAAATAAATATTTCAGAATTTTTCTACATTTATAACCATGCTGTCTTCTCCCTACTCTCTGGGGAAAAAATGTCTGTGTTTCCCTAAACTAGCTGAGTCTTAACTTCTACCCATTCTGTTCTTTTTATTCTTTATCTTCAATACCTTGCTCTACAAGAAAATTCCTCTAAACTTGACCAAGTCTTACTTATCCTAACATAAACTAGCTATTTCCCTCTTGCACCTGCTTTTTTCTTATGTTATTATCATACCTCTTCTTCTCATCTCCTTGGAAGAGTTATCTGTACTCTCTACTCCCTTTCCCAGTGTCTTATTTCCCATTTCCCAATGTCTCACTATTAACTTCCAGACATCTACTTTTACCACATCACTTCTAAAATTTACTATTGCAAAGTAAGTTGCAATCGCATTACCAAACCAAAAAGAAGCCTCTCTTCAGAACTTTTCTAACAACTCCTTCGCAGCATTAAATATATTGACCATCCACTTGAAAATTTACTCCTTCACTAGCTTTCATGTAATTATTCTGTATTCTTTCTTAAAGTAATAGAAAGACACTATAATGGTAGTCAAAAATCCATGTTCAAGCATAGGCCCCACTATTGCTCTTAAAACTCTAATTTCTTTATCAGCAGTAGGGATAATATTTGTCTTGCTTTGTTCACTAGTTTGTAATGCAAAAAAATAAAATAATGGATCTGATAATGCCATAAAAGACACGAAATATATAAAGCAGCTAAGTAAGATTTGATAACTTGGTAACAGATAGGATGCAGACAATGATACAAAAACACTCTTGCTACCAAATTGGCTATGAACTCCTGAAGGACCCAAAGCTGTGTATCTTACCTGGAAGGTTTTTTTATTATTAAAAGGTTTCCAAGCATCTTCATCAAAGCATTACCATGTCCATTAGGGCTTTTACCGGGAAGTTAGGAGACTTCAAATAAAAAACCCTCTGACTTACCTGGGCTCACTTTAAAATCAAAAAAATAATTATTGGAACTACATTGGGGGAACTTTCATTTTGATAACATAGTAGGAAATCAAAATGTTAATGATGCATCTTCACATAAACAAACAAGTAAATCAAATCAGGCCAATCGTGAGTAAGAGATATTACCAGTTCTTGGGGAAGGTGCCCTTGCAATTTCTAAGGAGCAAGGTTTCTTTGTAACAGCTGTGTCCATGAGATCACACAGAAAGTTCTCATTTTCTGAAGGAAATGTATCCAGAGAAGCAGATGGTACAATTTCCATAGTGTAATTTCTCTTTTTTGGATAGGACTCCTGAAAAGAAGAAAAAATAAAAACAGCTTTGTGATGAAGAAATGGCCTTGTTTAATTTATAAAAACTAGAAAAGATAATCAGGTTCATTAGTTCTTTCCAAAGTGACTGACAGCTGATGATTCATCTGTTTGAATAAACTATAGAATCATGTAACCCCAATGTCATCAGTGATATTTTTAAGAGTCCTCATAATTTAAAAGGACTGAATTTATTACTGAATTGTAAAGGCATTGCCCTCTTTGTAATGTATATATATATAATCTAGTTGTGGCATAAACTGTTGGTTAACTAATCAATAGTCATTCCCAAGACTCTACTCCTTTGCCAGCCTCCTAGAGACAGCCATATAACTCAACTTTGGCCCATTAGATGTAAGAGGAAGTTTGCTAAAGGCTCGTGGAAAATCATTTTTCCCCAGAGAAGAAGCTTATAAGGAGGCACTTTCAGAGTCAAGGCCATCCCCGGGCTCCTCTCTTTGGATGCAGTTTTGATATCTGGAGATAGGGCAAGCATTCTGTGACCATAAGGCAATAATCTTCAGATCAAAAAGGTAACAAGCCAAGAATAACAACAGAAGGATAAAAAGAGCCTGGGACCTTGATGATATCATTGAGCTGCTCAAATAGACCCAGGGCCAGTTTCTCCAGGCTTCTTACATAAATAATAACATTCTTACAGTTTGAGTCATTGCTACTTGGGTTTTCTGTCATTTAGAGTTAAATGTCTTGCCATCCAGCACACTAGTATTTTTCCTTGTAAATACCGTTAACTAATATACTAAGGTACTCTTTTCAGGTTAGGATAAAATGTAGATCCAGTTCTATATGATTGATTATTTGATATATTCTAAAAATTAGAATTTATTTCACTTTGTAAGATTTTAATTTCTTGTACAAAAGGTATTAATTGGTCAACAAATACTTACTAGGCATCTATTATATATGTAATATAATATGCAGCATAGTTATATATTATATATATATAAATTATGTGCTAAATGCTGGACATTTTTTAAAACTAATGAGACAGAATCCTTGCTCTTAAGAAGTTCACAGTCTGCTGGAGAAGACTGTGAAATTCTGCATGATGAAATTCACAATCATATTTTATTTTTGCTACATATCCTCCTCGACTTTACAAAAAACCCAAAGTAAGTTGAAAATATTGTACGTAGAAACTGCATTTAATACACTTAACCTACCAAACAGCATAGCTTAGCCTAGCCTGCCTTAAATGTGCTCAGAACACTTAATTAGCCTACACTTGGGCAAAATCATCTGGTAACACAGTACCAGATTGCAGAGTATTGGTTATTTACCCTTGCGATCTTGTGGCTGACTGGGAGTTGTGGCTTCCTACCACTGCCCAGCATCATGAGAGAGGATCTATCATAGGGTATATTGCTAGCCTAGGAAAAGATTCAAAATGATGTGCAGTTTCTACTGAACATACACTGCTTTCACACCATTGCAAAGTCAAAACCTCATAAGTTGAACCATCATGAGTTGTAGACCATCTGTATGTGCTACCTTTATAAAGTATGCTTCACAATCGAGAAAAAGACAAATAAGAAAATAAACTAATACTTCTGAAAAATCTCCCTAAGTATATTCTAGGGCTGATAAAGATTTAGTATGAATTCCTAGTTTTTCCACAGGGATACTACAGTACAGCAGAATTCAAGGTCAGGGTAATTGCTTTCAGATCATACCAGACCCTCACACATCAGAGAGTCAATTATGGTCATGATACTCCATTGAAAGCAGGAAATTGGGAGTAATTTATTTTTAACAACAAAGGGTGACAAAGTAGAAGGCATCCAGAGGAAAGCAATCAGGATGACATATAATTTTGAAACCATGTCAGAGAAGAAATGATGAAAGGATCTACAGTGTTCTATCCAGAGAAGCCTTACAGCCACATAATAGTTTTCTCAACGATTTGAAAGGCTATCCCTCATGAACTATCCCACAAAGGGGGGATGGGGAAAAGTTACTGTGGTAGATTTATTCTAAAGTCCACAAAGACAAGACAAAGACTAATGTTTATAAGTCAAGAAGGGCAAATTTGGCTCAATACAAAAAATAATTTTCTATGAATTAATAATATTGTTTACCTTTTAAAATAAAAATACACTATAAAATTAGTTAACAAATAGCATTAGAAAGCAACAGAAGGAATTCCACATTACTGAAAATCTTCCAGCAGAATTATCTGTTGATAAAATTGTGGATGAAACACATTGTACAATGAGTCCAGCAGGTTACTATAAGCTCCCTGAAGGCTGGAATTTGTCTTGTTCACCACTTTATCCCTAGAATTTAATACAGATCCTGCCAATAGTTGATGAGTTGATGCTCAATAAATACGTATTGATCAACTGAACAGTCTCTAGTGTCCTTTAAACAAAGCTATTTGTTTAATCATTTCTCTAATACAAGTTAGAGAAATGATTACTTTTTTTCAAATGTAAATTATTTTGCCTTTCAGTTCAGTTAGTATTGTTCACTGATTTGCATATAAAAAGTGAAAAACTGAGATTACAATGATAATACTGTAAAGATTCTATGAAAAAAGAGTCTCCAGTTAAACTCCCAGTTCCATCCTGAAATTAAATTAGTCAAAACAACCCATGGATTAGTTAAATCGGAATTTTACAGCGTGTATGAACACTTCTGAGGATTTTTAAAGCCTCGAAAACCACTTTGAAATTTAACCACAAAGAATGGGTTAATTAGCTTTCTTCCTTAAAAATGAAGTATATATGTTTATTAGAGAATAATTTGAAAATATAAAGAAAGAGGAAAGTAATCACATGAAAAACCAGCATGCTGAGATAACTGAGGATAATATTTTGGTGAACATCCTCCCAGACTGTTTCACTCTGTGAATGTGTGTGGACATGTGAGTATGAGCAAAGGAAAGAAAAAATATTTTAAACAATAATGAAGTGCTCCCTCTTCTGCTTCCTAATGGAGGGCCATAATTTCTTCTCGGAATGTAAGTCTTTATAGAACCTGCCTTCCTTACGGAAGATGAGGTCCCTGAGGGAAGGAGTTGGTAAAAACGAAGATAGTGAAACAATGCTTTTGTAACCAAATATTTCAGTGTAAAAAACAGAGGTATTTCAACAAAATATCTGACAAGAGACCCTCAAAAGAGGATATGCAAGAAATTTTTTTTAAATGGATCCATGTGTGTCCACTACTCAGTTTAAGACGTAGAATATTACCATTATATCATTGAAACCTGCCCCCCAACCCACCCCATGTTCATCTTTCCAGCCAGTCTTACCCTTTTTCCTCCTCTACCAAGGCTAAATGCTTTCTGAACTTCGTGTTTTTAATTCCTTGGATCGTGTTAAATTTTAACTATACATGTAAGTATCAATAAAAAATAAATTTTTAGTACTGTATGCTTTCAAACTTTATGTATATAGTATCAAATGCTCTAGTTCTGTGATTTTTCTCAATCAATATTATGTTTCTGAGTTTCATCTATTTTCAGTATGGTACAGGAGCTCATTGTTTAAGGATACCACAATTCATTTAGACATTCTCCTGACAATGGACTCTTAAATGTTTCCTAGGTGTTTTGTTATTTAGGATAATGTTGTTATAAATTTTCCCATACAAAGTCTCTTGGAGCAAGTAACCAGGGTTATGCTGCCTATTCTAGTAGTGATGGGGAAGAGTCAAGAACAGACAGCAGACGAGAAAAATAAATGAAATCGAGAGATGATAATGAGAATGGAAATTGTATGCCCCGTAGATTCTACAGAATCTTGAGAATGGCATTTGCAGTTTTCTACCCAAAGTGGCAGGAGGGTTCAAAGGATATTCTGTAAGTCTTATTAAAATATTATATATAAGCATAGTATTATATAAAATATTTTCTAATGTGTTATTAACTCTAAGGATATATTTTGTACCCTTTTCAATGACAATTATATGTCTACATGATGAACTTGGGTCCCAATATATAGCTGGTCGTAATTTATCTAGCCAATCCTATCATATTGAAATTGTAATGTTTTGCATTGAAGGAAACATTCTTGTTCATATATTTTGTCTACATATTCAACTGTTTTGAAATAGAATTCCTGTGATAATAGGTGTATGCCTTATGTTTACACAGAATTGAATCTGTATCTGGACTTTCTAATTGGTTCCATATATATGTCTATTCCAGTACAGGCATACCTCAAGGTGTATCATGTTTTACAGATACTGCATTTTTTACAAAATGAAGATTTATGGCAACCCTGCATTGCGCAAATATATCAGCACCATTTTTCCAACATGTTCTCATTTTGTGTCACATTTTGGTAATTCTCCCAATATGTCAAATTTTTCATCATTATTATTATATCTGTTATGGCCATCTGTGATCATTGAGCTTTGATGTTACTGTTGTAATAGTTTTGGAATGCCACAAACCACAATCATATAAAATGGTGAACTTAATGCATAAGTGTAGTATGTGTTCTAACTGCTCCACGGACTGGCCATTCCCCCGTGTCGTCTTCTCCTTGGGCCTCCCTATTTCCTGAGACACAACAACATTGAAATCAGGCCAATCAGTAACCCTTCAAAGGCCTCTAAGAGTTCAAGTGAAAGGAAGAGTTACATGTCTCTCACTTTAAATCAAAAGCTAACAATGATTAAGGTTAGTGAAGAAGACATATCAAAAAGCTAGGCCTCTTGTGCCAAACAGCTAGCCAAGCTGTGAATGCAAAGGAAAAGTTCTTGAAGGAAATTAAAAGTGCTACTCTGGTGAACACACAAATGATAAGAAAGGGAAACAGTCTTATTGCTGATATGGAGAAAGTTTCAGTGGTCTGGATAGAAGATCAAACCAGCCACAATATTCACTCAAGCCAAATCCTAATCCAGAGCAAGACTCTAATTCTCTTTAATTCAATGAAGACTGACAGAGGTGACGAAGCTGCAGAAGTTTGAAACTGGCTGTGGTTAGTTCATAAGGCTTAAGGAAAGAA